AAACCGCTTAGAGAGGGCTGGAAGCCCTATGAAGCGGTATATAAGTCTAATTGCTATTGCTAAGTGCTATTTTTCTAATTTAGAAGGAACATATTCAATAGAGTGGTGCACATTTCCAAAATGATTCAAAAAACCAACCAACTCAAGGCGGCCAACTCAACGTGGGGGAACTCGGTGCAGGACAATTTAACAATTCTATTAAACTATTTAAAACAAATTAAAAAACTATTTTAATGTTTGCCATTCACATTTCATTCTGTCTCTCCTTTCCCATCCTTTAACGATTCTATTCTGCTATTCCTTTAATATTAGCGTAGAGGTGAATTGTCCTAGACCCCTTTAAAATGGGTGGGAACGCAAGGCCTCTTTAAAGCAGCTGCGTCTTTTGCGGGGGAGAGGGAGGGGGCTTCTGTTTCTATGTTTGTCGTAGCTTGCAAGCCGAGTAGGAAACAGAGCAGCGCTACCGAGAAAAAGAACAATACCTTCAAAATTCCCAGTTTGCATTCGGTGCTCATTTCAAGGTATCCTTTCTTCTCCATCTCCCACGCCCAGGTGCTGTTGAAGTCTTGACACATCTACAAGGCAAACTTTTAGATTAAGTACTGAGGAATCTTCCCGCCACCGCAAGAACACACGATACATTTCCTGTCAGATCCAATTGTATTTTCCGGTGTCTCTGGAAAGAAAGTAGGAATCAAGACTTGGAGGTGAAGTGGGAGATGAGTTGCTGGCATACTCCTAGTTGATCAAAATTTTAATGCTGCAATAGCAGGGGTGTCAAACACAATGCCCGTGGGCCAAATCTGGCCCGTGATGTTGGTTGGAACCTGGCCTACAGGGCCGTCCTGGAAAATGGAAGGGGCCAGCTCGCATTTCTTCAGCCCGGTCTACAGTGTGAAGAGGAAACATGCCAGCAGTTTGGAGAGTGGCGTCAAGCTGGCCGTGCCCACCCAGTTGACCACACCCACCCAGTCAGCCATGCCCCTGAGGCCAACCACAGCCCTGATGCGGCCCTCCATGAAATTCAGTTTGACACCCCTGTGCTATAGTCTCCAGTGACTCACAACAATTTATAGTAATCTATGCGCTACTAAAACTCTCCCTGACATGACATTTCACTGGGCGAAATGGTTTATGCTCCAATCTTTACTATCTCAAAAAAAGTGGGGATATATATCCTGTTGTTGATAAATAATTTTAATAAGGAAGTAATCAAAAATTGGTATATATATNGCGATTTTGTCGGCGTGCATTTGTTGGCGCGCTTTTGTGGGCGCGATTTTGACGTCACGGTTTTGTCGTCACGCATATGTCTATCGCGCATTTGTCGGTGAACCGTGTTGGCACAACTGGGGAAACGCAAATCTGAGCTTTCCTATTGACAGAAAGTCACAAAAGGGGATCACATTAGCCCAGGATGCTATAAGTCAGTTGCCAAGTGTCTGAATTTTTATCTCGTGACTGTGAGGATGCTGCGTTGGTTGTTAAGTGTGAAAAACAGTCCTAAGTCACTTTTCCACTACTGTTGCAACTTTAAAAGGTCATTAAATGAACTGTTGTAAGTAAAAGACAACCTGTATTCTCTTAAGGGCTGGCAAGTAGGTTTAAAAATAGTTTCTATCCTTGGGCTGTCAAGACTCTTAAACACAACCACAATCACTCATGCACGAGCGAAAACACACGACTAGTTTTCTTGTTCTTTCTTTTTTCTTTTCCGCTAATCACTTGCATTGGGATTATTCTTTATATTATTTATGTCATTTGTATTTGTTGCCATGAATTGCACCAGTGAGCTAAAACCAATTTCGTTGTATTTATTTTGTACAATGACAATAAAGGCTATGCTAATACTAAGTAATTCAGCACGAAAGTCCTATTTGCGATGAAAAAAAAAATCAGATTGTGCAAATAGATGGCGGCAAGGAGTTAAGAGGTTTCTGTATAGCCTCCTGCATTGGAGTACAGGTAGTTCTCGACTTACGACCGCAACCGAGCCCAACATTTCAGTTGCTAAGCAAGACATCAGGTGGGTTTTGCTCCATTTTACAACCTTCTGTGCCATTACGGTTAAGTGAATCACTGCAGTTGTTCAGTTAGATACATGGTTGTTAAATGAATCCGGCTTTCCCATGGAGTTTGGTCACAAAAGGAGATCACCGTTGTTAAGGGAATCACTGAAGATGTTAAGTTGGTTAACCCGATTATTGTGAATCTGGCTTCCTTGTGGTCTTTGCTTGTCAGAAAGTCGCAAAAAGCAATCACATGACTCCGGGAGCCTGCAACCCGTCATAAATATGAGTCAGTTGCCATTGTCTGAATTTTGATCACATGACCGAGGGGATGCTGCAATGGGTGGTATGCAGGTCCCTTCTGATTTTATGCGTTACCATTTTTCGGAGTATAAGACGCCCCTTTTCCCCTCAAAAAAGAAGGTGAAAATCTGGGCGTGTCTTATACACTGAATACAGCATTTTTGGCCTACTGAAACCCCGCTCCCTTTAGGAGCCTCCCGGAATGCTCTTGGGATCTGGGGAGGGGCAAAATGAGCAAAAAACAGGCCATTTTTCCTCATTTTTGCCCCACCCCAGCCTCCAGGAGCACTGTACAAGCTTCCCAAAGCCTCTGCACATCCATTTTTGCAAAGGGGGGCTGAAAAGCCCAATTCCTCTAAAATACTGGCTTTTTTTTTTTCATTTA